ACAAGTGCCACGCTAGTAGTAACAAGGACGCTACTAGAAACAAGTGCCTTACTACTAGGGGCAAGAAGCTACTAGGAGCAGCACTTCGGCTCCCGGGTCAAAGCAGTTCGGGTGGACGTCGCGTCGGTCCACAGTCCGAAGTCCGAGCTGGAGCTCCAGGGAGGTGGACACCTCGCGGGGAAGATCTGTACACCGCCGCTCGAACCGGGCTTCGGGTGAACCTCAGTCCAGGTCGCCGCCCGACGAGCTTTGTCTTGCCTGGCGCAAGGGAGTGCAAGGGCCCGGCAGGTGCTGGGCGCGTTGAGAGGTTGTCTGGATGGCACGGTTGGAAAGATTGGGATGCCATCCACGTAACAATGATTCTTTCAGGGAGCGTACAAAACATTACAACACATATATTTGATATAACTTGATATGTTGTTGTTTTCTTTTTTAATGTGTCATATCAATAAACAACATAGTATGCAAATTAACATAGAAAAATAAAATCAACATATTACATATAATGCGCTATATATCAAATATATCTTTGTCACCCTTCCCAATCTCGCCATTCTCCCACTCTGCTCCCACTCCAGGCGCTGCAGGCGGTCGAGCTTTCGGGACCGTCCGGGAGCCCTGCTTTTACCGGCAAGAAAGACGTGTTCTGGTGGGAAAGTCCTTTCAAAGTCCTTCTTTTGGTGTCTGCGTGTTTGTTCGAAGTCCTTTCAGAAGTCTCAAAAAATGCATTTTCATCCCTCAAAGTTCTTCTTTTTGATTTCTGTCCTTTCATTTTGATCATGGTCTGTAATCAGGCTCTGTGATGGCCAGTTCTTGAGTTTGGATTTAACAAGACGCTTGTCCGGCTTGGCCACGACGAAGCAGCCTCGTTCTCCCAATCCGAAGGGATCTAACATCGGGCCCGTTGTGTATTCGGACCTGGCACCGTTCGAGAGGTGGCCAAGGTGTGAAAACGGTCCCAGTTCTTTTCACTCCGTGGAAACCTCCTTTCGGAGTAACGGCATCGCTACTAACAAGGTGCCTTACTAGCGGGCCGTAGCTAGAAGCTATACAAGGACAACAAGGACAACGTCTCTCTTTCCGCTCTTCGCCCACTGTTTTTGGGTGCTTCGGAGTCGTCCCAGAATTCCCCAAGGGAAGGCCCGCACGCGGCGCAAGAATTGGATTCGCCCGGATCCCCGAAAGCTTTGCGGGGTGGCGCGGCCGCGGTCGGAAACGTGGTGCGGTCGGAAAGTGGATGAACGACCACTCCACAGTTGAAAGGTTTGAACGGCGTCATGTTGAAGCAGAATGCATTCTTCCAGTTCTGTCCATCTAGCGATGGCCTCCAACAGCGCGGATCCGGGCTCGGGAGTCGATGTCACCCAGGATCCAATACTTCGACTTCACCCAGGGCACCCCGGGCGAGGTGCGAAATGGGACGACCGCAGACAAAACGGCCGGTCGCCACACGGACGGCGGAATCCGAGTTCTTGCCAGAGCAAATGCTGCAATCTCATGTTCTTTTCCATGATCTTTGTTGATACCTGAACATATTATATACTGTGTATATATATATATATATTTAGTTAGTCGTGGATTTAACCAGGAACACCTTTTGTCGACATATCCTCAAGTTTCCACTGCATTAAACAATGGCTGAGCGATGCAAGAGTCCAAGTCATGGTTTCATTGTTTCATTTCGGATATTATTGCAAAATGTGTTACTAGGTCAACATTATGATGACTAGTGTGACTGGAACATCCGGAAGCAGAATGAAGCTGAAAAATACTGGGGTCAAAGAAACCATGGCGAAAAGTAGCCAAACTCAGCAAGCCCCAAACTGGCTTTCATTTTCACTTTTTGATCTCTTTTCCGTTTGACCCATCCATTTTGTGGTTGGACGTTTCTAAAGTCTTGTCGTTGGAAGACTTTAGCAGCCAGCAATTGGGACAACATCTATGTAGACTAATGTGACAGGAACGAATACGGAAACCTTGGACGTTTGTGAGCTCAAGTTTCCCATCCATGTCCATCCCTTTTACCTTTCAAACGTCTGAGCAGTTTTTTGCCCCATCAGGTATGGCAGACATATCATTTTAGTAGAGTGTCCCATGTTTGACAATGTTTGGCTTCACAATTGCTGAAGGTTTTTTTTGTAAGCAGAACATCGTCAGACCACTTGATTCTGTAGCCATTCTTAAAGGAATCCTGTAAATTCTTACAGTGCAAGTTCTCATCCTCATCTTGTACTTTCACTGAATCTGCCGTACCAGGCCTAGATGCAATGCAAGGGTTGTCGTCGGATTCCAGCGCTCCGCATCGCAGGTGTCCCGGCGACAGGCGGCAGGCGGCCTGGGTTGGTTTTCGGGTTGCTGGATGCACTACGAGGTCAGGAGTAGTAACAGGTGCCACGCTAGTAGTAACAGGTGCCACGCTAGTAGAAACAAGTGCCACGCTAGTAGAAACACGTGGATTTTGGAGTAAGGTTTCGAAGAAGAGAATCGGAAATAAGAAACTCAGCAACAGATCAATTGAACGGGGACTTGAATATCTTGAATGATAAGCTGTTGACAAGCATCTTGCAGTTCTGTAGTTGAGTAGGTGGTTTAGAGTCGAATAGTTCCCCTCTCACCACCGTCGCCACCCATACGACAAGCTCTCCTCTCCTCGTCGACGAGTTTCGACTCGGGTCCTTCGCGAGCTACGACTTGGCCAGGCTAACACGGCCGCGTGCTACGACTTGGTCAGCTCGAAAGGTAGCTGACCAGATCGATGGATAGCTTGGGGACGGGTTGAAGGGGGGGAAAACACAAGGAGCCTCAATGATTCAATGGTCAAACGATGATGGCGCGTTTTGCTTTTGTTGTCATGGCTTTTGCATCGAACAGTCCACTTTGCCTTTTGCATCGACCCACGGGTACGGGCAACCTCGAACCTGCCTTCGCCCGTCGCCGGGGCGACGTTTCACCGCCGTGTCTGGCGACCGTGTCTGGCGACCGTCTGCAGAAAAGGCGCGGGCAGCGGAGTGGGCAGAGAGATCTAGGAGCGATCGGACGCTACTAGGGGCTCCTGCCCTACTACAAGGGGCAAGAAGCTACTAGTAGCAAAGGGCATCGCTACTAGGAGCAAGGACGCTACTACAGAATGCCGGATCAGTCCGCCTCTTGAAAGAGAGCCGGGCCGGAGCCGGCCTGGCGGTTCGCACAAAGAGGTGTGTCTTTGGTTTGATACGTTCAGTGGGGGGAATAGGAAGGGGTCAAACTAGGGGTTCTGGGGAGTTCTTGTTCATCAACCACCTCGGTGAATATTTTTGGCTCTCAACAGTTTTTGTTGAGCCTTTGTGTCGTTATTCTCTATGGGGGTTCTGGTGAAAATCAAGTGCAGAAAAATCATGTTTCTTGTTATTCAACGAGGTGGCTGATTGTTTTGGCTTGTTGTGGTTTTGTTCAACGTTGTAATTTTACATGTTTTACGGGTATGTTTTGTTTTTTTTCGCTTACATGTTTTGTTGAGATTGTTGGGATATGTTGGGATAATGCGTGGTTCAGATGAGGGGTATGAATTTGATAGGGTTTTATGTTGCGCGACACCACGTTTGCTTCATCCACTTCAATGACTTCTTCAATTGGTTGCCCAGATTTTCAGATAAATTGGCAAACTCCGCATTTCTAAATGTGCCTATGCCTTGGACATCGTTGGGATAGGACTTTTTGATACTTTCTGCCTGTTCTGTTCATGTTGTTGTGGTTCAGCTTCAAGCTTGCTCCACAGAAAGCTCTGTGGCGCAGTATTTTCAATCACAAAAGTCCAGTAACATAGCAAAATGGACGGTCATGCGCTCAAAGCTTTTTTGGGCCATGGGAGGCCAGGGGTCAAAGGAGACCGTTCGTCTGAGTTCTTTTCGTTTGTTCGCAACTAGAGACCAAAAATGGCCCGAGAGAGTTGAAACACAATGCATACAAGTTCTGTTGTTCAGTATGTTTTAACTTTGTATCAACGTGTGTGGAATTTCGTCACACGGTGTGCCACTTGGCACTAGATACAGCAATTGTACCGGCAAGCCTCGTGGACACCGTCAACCATCCCGCTTTGCAGCGACGCGGCGCGTTTACGCACGCATGCTTTTCGTTTCCACCGCCAATCTAACAAGTCCAGGCCAAAACCTTTGGTGTGCCATCCGACAGGTGTTCACCGTTTGGAAAGCAGAAGCCACCCCATAAGGAGGAACTGTGAAAAACCTAAAGCCTGAAAGGGGTCAAGAACTTTACATTGCAGAAAGTTATGAAGCTCAAGGGCAACTGGTGATTGACTGTGGAAAAATGGTGAAACGTACGTCTGACATGGTGGTAAGATGCCGTGCGTTGAGAACACTTTGACCTCAAGCAATTAAAGATGCCAAGCACGGTCGTTTTCACACTTGGTCTTGCCGTTTTTATAATGTTTGCACCGGCAAGTCGCACATCCACGGAGCAAATCACTGTACTTTTTCCGATTGAGACATCCATGCCGAGGTGTCTAGGAGGTGGTTCGCATGTCCGCAGCCCACGAAGATCAACATTGTGAGCCAATCTCCGGCACGCGGGATTTGTTGATTCATTGGTGCATGCTTACCCAAGCAGATGCCCTCTCAGGTTTTAAAGAAAACATGGCAGTTGCAACTTGTCTGTGTTTTCCCTTGGCCCATCACCTCTCATGGCCCGCGCTTGAGCAGTTCGATGGTTGGGGCCCTTTGAGCGGTTAGGGTTTGACATGCGATGGATGACATGCACTTGTTCCTAGTAGCGTCCTTGTTACTAGTAGCAGGTGCCACCCTACTAGTAACAAGTGCCTTACTAGTAGTAACCATGTTAATTAATTGTAGTTAAATTAGGATTGGAAATCTACTAGGACCTTTTCGCGCCCACGCGCGCGCGCGCGCGCGGGGGGGGTAGGACGCTAGTAGCGATGCACTTGTTCCTAGTAGCGTCCTTGTTACTACTAGTAAGGC